GACAAAAGTTCTACAACTTCTCAAAACTTACCATTAAAGATTTGTTGGCTGTCAAATTCACAAATTTATGCCTTAACATTTTTAATTTCGGGAATATGTAATCGAGGTGATACTGCAACCATGAAATCCACAATGTTTTTGACAGAAGGATTGAAGATTGTAGAACGTAATTATTTTTATTTTTTTTTTAATTTTTTTTTTATATGTTAATGTAAAATATTGATTGATTAATTCAATATTCGTTTATTTTAGAAAGAATTAATTCAAATGGTATTTTTACTATTTGTATTTTATGAATTAAATTTTTTGGTGTGATTAAAAAGTAATTTAATTTAAAAAGAACTTTTTTTTAAAAAGAAAATGGTTTATCACTTCAAGAAATCATCAAATCAAAAAAATTTTACATTAATCTAAAAGCTTACATGTTACAATACTTGATTGACGTATATTTATTAAGATCAGAATTTACTGAGGCAGAAAAGGTGATGATGAATAAAAGAATTTATTATTGTTTTAATTAAAAACCTCTAATTTCTAATTTACATTTATATTAATTATAGACACTTGCACAATTAATGAATTGGTCGAATATACATAATCTGTGGCCACAATTCCATATTAATATAATAATCGCACTTGGAATGATAAATCAATTTATAGGAAAGCCTATTATTGCTACAGAATTTTACAAAGCTGCCGAAAAGGTTACTTATCAACATTATTGTCGTCGTCGTCGTCATTATTATTATGTTAATAATTATAAGACCTATTATCTTTTTATATATTTTTTTTTTATTAGCTTTCAAATAACAAAGAACTAAGAGTATTATCAAAGATTAATCGTACATTAATGGTATTCGGTAATACAACTCAAAATCATGAAGAATTACAAGAAGAAGTATTTGTTTTATTTATTCTGTTAATTCAATCATTTAATCAATTTATTTATTAATCGATTATTTTATTAAATATATATGGTTAATAAAAGATTTATACAATACTTAAAGAAATCGAACAAGAAGATATATTTCAAACAAACAACATTGATGGTCTTAAAGCTGCAATGCATTTTTTAAATGCATTAGCCTGCGACGATATTGAAAAGACAAGGTATTTAATTATATATACGTATATACATATATAAATATAATAATTCATTATTTATTTATTTCTCATTGAAGAGAGTCTTTATTAGAGTCACTTAAAATTTCCACTTCGTTGTTCAACAATCAACTTAAAGCTCTAACATTATCGGTTTTAGGAACATTATTCAAGGTAACCCAAAATGATCAGGCAGAAAAAATGCTTACTTCTTCATATACTTTATCAAAAAATGCCAGAAATAATATTGGATGTTTAATTTCTGGTCGTTTGTTGGAAGGTAATTAGTATTCTAAATAATAAATAATAAAATAAGTGAATTTCTGGTAATTTGATTGATTGATTTTAACTTTAATCATTGGTTCATAAAGAAATATATCAAAAACAACAAAAACTATCTGACCATGCAAATCAAGTGACATCAAATAGAAAACATGAAATGGATGTTTGTAAATTTCTTTCTGAATGGAGCATGAAATCAAGAGTTGTGTTTAATCTTCTTGATGATAATAATAATAATGGCGTTGGTGGTAATAATGTTGATGGCGTTGTTGCTAATGTCTCAAATCCATCATCTAATATTTATAATAATATACCTAGTACAACTAATAAAAACAACATTTTGTCACATAATAATAATGGTGAAAGTAATAATGTTAGTAATAATAGTAGCAGTAGTAGTGTTTGTAACAATACAATGATGATGCATAGAATGTCCTTAGATGGAAGCCATGGTAATAGCAGTGGTGGCGAACACTTGTGAATTTTTATAATACTAGAACAATTGTTTATTAGTTTAGTAGTCTTATATTTTTATTATAAAAATATTTATTATTTTAAATACTTATATTTATAATTATATTATGTTTTTACAATTAGAATTAATTAATAATAAATAATAAATAATTTTTAAAAAAAAAATCAAATTAATCAATTAATCAATTATTATATTTACATTTGTTATTAATTAATAGTAATATATATTATTAATGTGATTATGATTATAAAGAAACTCCAGTTGCAGAATCTGATAATTGTTTGGGTTCAGCTTTATAAAATAAAAATGATTAGAAACAGTAAATAAATAAATAAATAAATAATATGAATAAATGCTTACTAGAATACCAAACAGGTACGGCAATCTCGCCTCCTGTAGTTTTGATAACAACTTTTCTACGTGCCCATTTACGAGGACGTTTTTTACCGTTACCATCAATATTTTTATTTTTACTATTTATTAATGTATCTTGATCAGTTTGTAACGAGGATGATGAAGGTTTTTGATCTAATTTTATATAAATAAAGATTTTATTTAAATTCTGATCTATTTATATGTATATGTACATATGTGTATAAAGAAATCTTTCCATAATTAAATATTTATTTACCTTCAGAATTTTTAGTTGGAAATGTGACATCATCAGTTTCAAGTGGTTTTTGAGATTTTTTTTGTTTACTAGAAGTTGTAGTACTATTTAAAGAGTTATATATATAAGATATATATTAAAAAATATTTTTTAAAATTTACTAAATGGTGGTAGTAATAAAAAAACCCCGTTGCTGTTACTCTGTGGAATTTTCCGAATTGTAAATTTCCGTTTCTTTATTCTTTCTTTTGCGACCAGTCTTAGAATTAAACGTAATTATTTTAAAATTCTCTGAAGTATGAGGCATTTTAGCTTTAATTTTATTATTATTATTATTGAATTTTATACATACATACATATTAATATTAATATTAATATGGGCCAATATTTTTGCTTCAAAGGTGTGTCAAATATTACACGTGATTGCGTTAAAAATGCAATTAATATTTTCCCAACTGCATATGTATCTTATTTTAATTGCATCAACTGATCGATTCTTACTAATTACACACCAGTTCAGAATAATTCAATTTTAATCGAGCATATCTTTCAATATAGTCAAGTTCACAATGGAACTTGGGGTAAAAAATGATCTTTGGCAAGAAAATTTGGTTGTAAAGAAATGAATGATCCTTTTTGCCCTTCGTTATTTCTTAAGCAGTCATGTAAAATAGAAATTCTGATATGTGTGACTAATTGGGTCTTGTTATTTTTATAACAAATTCAAGCATCATTATTAATCTAAAATAAAACTGTCATTATAACTTTCTAATGAAACCTCCCATATATTGATAGAGGCTCTCTATGTAAAGCTATAGCTACTAACTAAAACAGCATTACTTTTCACTTCAAAACTAAGATTTTATCTATTATCGCCTTTATAAACTTGATGAGCGGTTGAAAATATGGAAAATATTGTAAACTTTAATATGGGTATAGCTTTATGCGGATTGTCATTTATTAGTAGGGATGGTTCGGTTCAGCGAAATCTGTTTATTGCACAAACTTTTTATAGATTATACATGCAGATCATTCTTTGTATATATACAACATATTTCTATAACAACAAATTGAATTATTTGGTGGATAGAATGAACAATTGTATCATATAATAGTATATTTTTAATTATGTTTCTTAAATGAGCTTGAAAAAAAAATAAATCATTTTCATTCAAAAATAATCATCTTAGGTTGTATATATAATAATAGTAGTAATGATATGCTGCTTAAAATGGAAAAAAACAACAACAAAATAAGTTGTTTGGAGAAGAGTCGAATTTGAATGCAACATAGTAATAGAAGTGGTTATTTTTGAATATGTTGCTTCCACATTTCTCAATTCGAAAAAATAAATCATTTTAAATTGTATAATAGTAATATTGAAAAAAAAAACAAAATAAGTTGTTTGGAGAAGAGGCGAATTGAATGCAACATAGTAATAACAATAGTTATTTTTAATTGTGTTGCTTCCATATGTCTCAACTCGAAATAACAAACCATTTTGAATTGTTTGTATAATAATAATAATAATGGTGTGTTGCTTTAAAATGATAATCAATTTGAGAACAAAAAAGTTGTTTGGAGAAGAGGCAGATTGAATTTGGAAAAAAGGCAAGTTATAAAAATAATCATGTCGCCTACTCAGTGTCTGAAATTGAGTGCGGGGGTTTGTGTTACATATTGAATTTAGCCAATCAACGTTAAATTTTCTACCAGAAGGACAAATTTGATTGGCTAAATTCAATATGTAACACAGACCCCGCACTCAATTTCAGACACTGCGCCTACTCATCTTGTTTATCATTTTTTACATCTTCGACATAATAATAATAATCCTAAACGGTCAAAGTATTCTTTAGTAGTACACAAAATAATTTTTTGATCACGATCTTGCATTCTTATTGGCCAATTTAACGATCTGCAAAGTAAAAATAGTCAATCGACCAACTTTTAAGGATGATTTTACGAAAACCACAAGGACAACGACCGAATTTTTATTCACAGGTCAATCAACTGAATCTCGAAGATCATTTTCGTATTAGGAAGTAATACCTTCAGAAAAAGTTTTTTATAACAGAAAAAAATTTCGGCTATCAATAGCCGAAAAACCGTTTAAGGGATAATAATAATAATAATAATAATAATATTTCGTATTACATTTTCACGTGATATAATAACCTGGCCAATAAACATAGAGATTTAGTTTCATAAAAAAACCCGATTCGAACAGGTTCAAAAACCGAACCGAACCTAAACCAAAAACCGGGGGTTTTTTAAACCGCCACATCTCTACATTTAATTCCCCTTGCATAAATGATTTGCATATAAGCATCTTTACGAAATTACGTGAATTACGGTTTTTAATATTAAATATTATTCTTTTTTTCCAAATTTGGGAAAATGTATTTTCAAATTACACATAATTTAAAAAATTAAATTTTAGAAACCATGAAATGGCTTTTATTTGCATTAAGAATCTTCTTCTTCCTCATCTAATTCTTCACCATCATCTTGTATAGAGTCATCTTCAACCTCAAAAGAGTTTACTGGAACAGAATATAGCCTTATTGCAGGCTATATGGATTTTAAAAGTAAAATATTAATTTTGAAACAACACATTACTATTGTCAATGACAGTTTATTGAATACAAATATATATATATTACCTTGTTAGGATCCTTAAGTAATACATATCTACCTTCTGGTAATTTCATACATAAATCAATGATTGTTCTAACTATTCCCCATCCATTGGAAACAGACAAGTTCATTTGAGTGGCAAAATCACGTGGTTTGTAAACTTGAGTCCCCAAGATTACATGTCGAGTATTATCTTTAGGATTTGCTCTAGAAACATAGCTATAAAAATAAATAGAAAATTTCAAAATAATACCCTATTATATAAACGTGAGTTATATTGTTATTATATCATAGTTACCCTAATTTCATTTGATCAGCTTTTGCCAAAATACTTTGAACAGCCCATCTTGCCAATTTACAACTATTATTTTTCATTTCAGTAGCAACAACTGCACCACTCTGAGTATCTAATTTTTGACGCCAATCTAAAGCACCACCTGCACCTTGAGCACGTGTGTCAAATTCATTTAAAGCTTTTATGGTGATAAAGGAATCACCAGTTGATGTTTTGACAACTGAGTCAAGTTGAGTTCTAACAATCAATGCAAAATCTTCCTCTTCATTAATACTGAGATCAAACCGTCTATATTTATATGCACCTGGTGCCATGTATTCAATTTCATCCGTGGAATTAATAAATGGGTTGGGATTTTCAAATTCATGTTTTTCAGCCTATTATTATTGTTGTTGTAGTGTTCAAACAAAATAAAATTCATAAATATTTATATTTATATTTATATTTATAAAGTGGGTTAAATTTCTTTATACCTCGTTAACAACTTGTAATGCAAAAAAATTATTGATTTCTGTTGCTTCCAATGCTAAAGCACTAGGAGAATTTATATTATCTTTATCACCTGTTTCAAGAGGTGGATCAGTTGCATTTTCATTTACTGTTATAATATCTAATATGATTTTAAACAAATAAATAAAATTATAAATGTGGGTATTGTGAAAAAAAATTTATCATAAATATACACATATATATATATGCATACCATATACACCATTATTTCTTTTGTCAAAGAAAAGTTTGTCACCAACTCGATTTATTACAATGTCCCATGGATACACAGACCTTGGGGCACACATAAGAAGACTTAGAATAGAATCCGTAGCAAAAACTGTTGCTTGATTATCTTTTGCCAGCTATTTATAATAATAAAAAAACATGTATTATTTAATAAAAAATTTTATTAAAGAAATTTTATAAGATAATTACTTGTTCTATAATCGGATCTTTGGATGTGGTGGTAAAAAATCGAATGCGCTCGTTAGATAATAATGGTTTTTCAGTTTTGGTTCTAACCAGATCATAGCTTTTATCATAATAATACATGAATCCATGTGAAGATCTAAATTAAACAAACATAGACATATACATAAATATTAGAAAATTGTCACTTTTCAAAATAATAGAACATTGAAAATATTTCCAACTTACAAATCCTCGCCATCATCTACATCCAAATTAAGTTTAGTTAACCGAATAAATTCAATTTCTTCAAGTTCTTTCCATTCAGGCCCAACATTAACCGAAGATTCTCTTGATCTTTGTGGCTATTAAAATCATAACTTTTTCAATAATATGATTACATAAATTTTCTTTTTTTATCTTTAAATTATAAACAAATTATTTATTAGAAAAGAAATAAATACTTTATCATAATCTTTCCAACCAAAGCGCCTTCTAATATTTGCTGGTGTGAATTTACCGCCGGTGGCATTTCTATTTTGTGTACCAAGTCTTTGATATTGTCCATTTCTGAATTGACGTTGTCCTTGACCTCTCATATTACCACGACCCTATTATTATTTTACAGAGAAAGTATCAATTGATTTGTTTTTTTAAAAAAATAAATCAATTCATCTTATATATATATATATATACTTTTGCACCACCAGTAGTTCTGTATGAAGTAGATTTTTTTTGATGTGTGGTTCGATTATCAACAACAGAAAAAGATGCTTCGTCATCAGCATGAGTATATGCAAAAGTACTAGATGCACCATATCCATATGCCGTATATTGATCTATGAAAAAATTTTAAAAAAAGTGACCAAAAATCAACTCACTTCAAATTCAAGATCCTAAATAAATAAAATCGATAAACAAAAAATTATTGATAGATTAGAGCATACCACGATAACTACGATAAGTTGTTCTTTGTCTACCAGTCTGTTCCTTTTCTTTTTGTTCTGGTGTAAACCAATCAGCTATTCTTCCTAATTTATCAGCTTTGCTATAAGGAGCAAAAGGAATGTCTCTGAATTTTTCTGGCAACATGAGAGGTGAAGGACCCCAACCATTTTCGTTATCGATAATTTCTGGGAGTTTGAATTTAGGTTCTTCCTCCATTATATATATATATATATATATTTTTTTTTTTTTTTAATATGAGGTTCATCCAATCACCCACCACATTCATTCGGACAGATTTATTGATGGACGGACGATTTATCGATTTATCAAAACCCTGAAAACTTCTAATTGGGGTCCCAGAAAAAATTCAGATGTAATTTTTATATACAGTAATTTTAATTTGGGCAGCAACTATATTGACAACACAATTAAAAATATAACATCTGAACTTATATGTTATGTGTATGTTCTACCAAATTATGGTGTAATATTTAGAAAATATTTAGATGAACATAATCAGTTAGTAGTACATTCATTTGTCAGAGAATACTCATTTGGAATAATAGAATTAATTATATTTCTCTTAATATATTTGATCCAAAAGAACTTCTTGATAATGAGAGAGATTTGGTTGTATATGGAATAAATGAGATAGATTTCCTAGATAAATTTTATGATGAAATTAAATTTGTGGGTGATAATGAATTTTATAAAATTATGAAAAAGGAAAACTCAGAAGAATGGAGCCCTGTAAAATCTTATCTACAATTGTACAAAAATACTTTAATCAATTGTGGAAACATATATTAGATAATGATGAGAATTTTTCTTCTAATCATCCAACAACAACAATTATTCTTAAAATAGCACTGGTTATACCTCTTTCTAATGCTCAAATAGAAAGAATATTCTCACAACAAAATTTAATAAAAAATAAATCAAGAAATGTAATGAATATTGGTACTTTGAGTAATCATTTAATGATATTATTAAATGAACCAGAAGTTAATTTTGAAAAAGCATATGAGCATTGGAGAAGTAAGAAACAAGAAGGAGTTACTATAGATATAAATCTTAAAGAAAATTAAATTGGGGCATACTAGGTTTCATAGATAGGTCAGTAATAAAAATTTCCTTTTGTTATATGATTTGACCCAGACCAAAATTAAGTTTAATATAACTTGACCCTAAGGTTTGCAATAACATTAGAAAAAAGAACATAATTTGACCCATAATATATACTAACATTAAAAATTTTGAAACCATTGTGAGTGTTATTTACCAGGTAATTCTTATGTTTGGCACACAGCTGGTCTTACTTTGCCTCGAATTACAGCCCATAATTATACCTATTGACACTAAATCTAAATATCAACACACAGCTAGGACTTACTTTGCCTACTGACTTATGGTTGATTCCACTATCTTATGACACAGTCTGGATAGTCCAAAATATTTGACATGCAGCTAGGACTTACTTTGCCTACTGACTTACAGTCAATGCTTCTTTTATTTTATGACACACAGTCTGGATAAAAGATCCCTAGGTTATTTGGCTAACTATATCCCAAAGGCGTCCCCTTGAGATGCTCAATAGTTAAAGGGTTCCCAACTAATAATCTAGGAATCAATCACACTGGGTTTATTAGTTAATTACAGTCAAAGAATATTTTATGTAAGGGTTATATATTTATTTAGAGTGTTAAGAGTTATTATTATGTTATTGTTGAGATGGAAAATTGCATGAAATTTCAAAACTTCATGTGCATGATGTGCATTTTATGCATTGCATTTTTTTAAAAATATATATATATATATATATATAAAAATATAAATACAATTTTCAATATTATTATCACTACCACTTCCTCACCACTTTCTATTCTAATTGTTTCATCATCATCATCATCACTTTTATCATTTTCGCTTCCCACATTTCCATCACCATCAATTGTAATATCCATATTATCATTGTTGGTATTTTTGGACATTTTAATTTGTAATTAAAATAAATATACACCAATTTAAAATACATTAAGGTGTCAATAATTTATTTCTCTTTTTATCATTTATAAAAGAAAAAGTAAACCAATTCCTTTTAGAAGCAAAGCTGATGAAATTATCAATTCTACCCAGTTTAACAAATGGGATGTCCACCAGCAAATAGGGGGTCTGAGACTATTAAATTGTTCTGTGTTATTATCAAAACAAAAATTGGTTACACGAATAGTTTTGATATGTAAAGTAAATATTTCAAGTCTTGTATAGTGCAGGACACCTAGTCCCACAACTTTTTATTGGTCTTGTATATCCTTTAGTATACCAGAAATGGAAATGT